AAAAAAAAAAAAAAAAAAAAAAAAAAATCTACTTGTTGGGGCCCTTGGCAAATGAATGTGGGAGGCCCTGCTTGGAATTACTGCTGCCACCACATTGCAACCCATCGGCTCTACTTCAGGGCAGCAAGAAATCTCATTAGCTCATACCCCAGAGTCTGCTGTTGTTTTCCAACAGTCGATGGATACAGGTTCTGCAGAGAACTTCTTTCCACGCTCTCCACCCTGGCATTGAGATGCGGGGAGAGATCCAGCTCCTGGAATAGACTAGGAGATGAGGCAAATAGAAAGGCCCTCCTCCCCCCGTAACACATACCGTTCCAAAACCATTGCAGCTGCTGAATTCAGGCCAAGTTGACTCTCTTCATGGGAAGGACTGGGTGACTTGGGGCAGCAGCTCACTGTCACTGCCACTGCCTCTTGCCAGCTGTCCCTGCATTGGAGGAGTCAGAGTCGGAGCTGGCGACTCGGAGCTCCAACTCCGAGCTGGCCTAATTAAGATTCTCCCATTTCACTAAGAAACAAAAAGCACTTTGAGAATGGGCTCCTTTCTCTTAGTGTAGTCACCTTGTAGGGAGGGGATCTCGGCCAGTTGGGCAACCTCCTAGCTTTCAGCACTGTGTGGATGTGCTGTAGTGTACATGTAAAACAAACAGCTAGCATTTGAGCACTTCCCTAGACCCAGCAGGAAGTGGCCCAAAAATCTCACATTTGACCTGAGGTTGTGCTTTGGTCAAGGTGTCAAGAGTTTTAATGCCCTTACTCCCAGGGTGCAAAAAAATCTGCAAAGGTAACCGAAGCTAGAAGAGCACTACTACTGTGCTGCCCAGCGCATGGAGTATCTGCCCTCCTTCGACCCCCAACAGTTAGTTGATTGCAGGTGGCAAGGGGGTGTTGCTTTTGTGACAGCACAGTCCTGGCACTGTGCACTGAGTTACCACCTCGCAGCACGCGAGAAGTGGATTTTCTTCCTCCTTTGACCGTGAGTTGACAAAGCCACCTGGGCCACCTGTCTTTCCCTTGCAGCCATCACTTGGTAGCCCGAGTGTACGAGAGCAAGGCAGAATTCCGGTCGGCTCTCCAGCACGAAAAAGAAGGCTACACGATCTACAAAAACCAGGTCGGGCATATAAGCTGCTTCACTTGTACTGTGTGATGTCTTGTAACCCAAGCGGGCTGCTTTCCTGAACAGTTGGTGGTGGGGGGCTCTTCCTAGACTCGGAGGACATGAAGGTCCTGCCCAGTGGCCCGGGGGAAGTGAGCTTTGCCACAGGTCTCCCATGCAGCTTAGTTACAGTAGTTCTGTCCATGTGGCAGAATGGGGTGGCAGTGGTGGGCTTTGGAGCACATTTCTGTCTTTTTTTGCCCTTTTGAAACTGGAGGGCCGAACTGGGCACAAACCAGACAGAGCCTGAGAGAGCTGCCTCTCCTGCGCGCAGTCCTCGCTGGTGCACAGCAAACCTGACATGTCTGGGCAGAACTCTGCAAGGTGAAGAAACCCATTTGATTTAATTCCTTCTCACTGACAAAGCATGGCCTGTTTGAGGGAGAGGTCAGTCACCTCCCCCTCCAGATGTCACCTTGGTGCCAGCACAGTCGTGGTAAGAAGCTGCCCACAGGCAGTGTCACATGCGACACCAGGTCATCCACGAGTGCTGCCATGAAATGAAATGAAGCCCAGTTTTAGCGGGTTTCAGCAGGCAGTCTCATGCAACCTCCAGCAACCATTTTGGTGCTAGGATTCAAGCTGAGTTTGAATACATTTTTGCTCTGCCTCTGTGATGCAACGTATCTTCGTTTCTGACTTAGCTCGGAGAACATCACGAAAAGACCAAAGAAAGCTCCGAGTACTTGAAATACCTGACGCAGCAAGCCGTGGCTCTTCAACGCACAATGAACGAGATCTACAAGAATGGATCCAACGCTAACATTATGCCACTTAAGGTAACTTCACATGCATTGGAGTAGTCGGGGCATCTTGTGTTAGGGTTGCATGAACAGCAGCAAAGAGTTTGCCATGATGGCTGTGCTTGGTTTCTCCTTGCGTGGGAAATATTACCAGCTTTAGCAGCACTCCCCAGATCACATAAAGAACATCTCTTTGGCAGGTAGTTATTTCTACATTGGAAGATCCTAAGTGCAGCTATATGTCTGAGCAGGTGGGATTTTTGAACAACCTTCTGTGGTTGTGTGGGTGACCTCCTGCTGGAAGGAATGGCCTGGGCGGCCTCCCAACCTTTGCCAGTTATTTTTCCTGCTAGCGCACTGCACCCCTCGCCTGTTAGCACAAGGGTTGAGGGGCGGTTTGCTCACAAGAGAGTGGCTGCATGCATGTAGGCACTTCCTTGTTTTCAGTCTTAACCCCAGAGGGACTCTGTAGAAATAGGTGTGCTTAGCACAGGCTGAAACATAAATGCTTTGTTCATATTGGCACTTTAAGGCCTTGTTCATGTAAAACCGTAACATGAGCAGCTGCTGTGGGCCTTGATTAGTTTTTGAAGAAGCTCCCCAGCCAGCAGGTTGGAGGAAAAACACCAGAAATAAGATCGTGCTGGGTCCTAACCATAATTAAGTGGAGGAGGCCATGCACCTGGGACCAACCGGGTTGCAGAACAGTTGTAAGAAGTAGTACAGTTCATATTGAATAGGAGGTTGGGAGCCTGGAACATCCCTAACTGTAAATGTGGCTCTTCCTCAGACTCGTTCTAGCCTTAGGCAAGTTGCTAAACCTCCCCGTACCTCCATTCCCTCATCTTTGAAATGTCTTCACACAATGTGAAGCTCTTTGGTTTTCTTCTGTGGATCTCGCCAAGTGCTCTGTCAGCAGAGCTAGGGTGACTGGAGCATATTGGATCCAAGGAGGAGCTTCCCCTGCTGGGTGTGCTGCCGGACTTAATTTGTAAAGAGCCTGTTTCCCAAACCAGCTGCTCTTATCTGCACCTGCACATGCACCTTACACAGAAAGGGGGCTGCACTTCTGCATCTGGGGGAAAAGCACAAACTTGTGGCAATAGCCGTGCCATAGTTTCTGGGCTGGTTGGTTGCCAGCTGCCTCCCACTGCCAGGGGCACCAGATCACTCAGGGTCTTAACGGTGAGTCCTGGCTCTGCATCTTCCAGCATGGTGGTGGCTTTTGCCCCCTCTTTCCCAAAGAGTCAAATCCAGAACTGTTACAGTTAAATAACCTGAACAAGAGCATGTAAGCAACTTGAGGTTAAATGGTGCTTAGTTCAGAGAATAAAACAGATCCTTAGATGGACCAAGGCTAATCTTTCTTTATACCTTCCCTCTTAAGCTTGTGGGAGAGTCCGCAAGGCCATGACTGCTATTTCAGTGACTGGGCAGAGGTCAGAAACCTGATGTACTCACACTTGGTCTATTTACCTATTCAGTTTTTGAGACTGAGCCAACTATTCATTCCATCGGCCTCCGGCACTGCCCTACAAGTCATTCTTCCGTGCCCTCTTCTTCGTGAAGCCTAGATAAGCCCCCAAATGTATGTGCAAGTGTTGAATATCTTTGTAACCCCACAGTGAGGTAGGGGAGAGCATCATCTCTGTGTTACAAGTGAACCAAAGCATAAGAGAGGAGGTTTGTCCCTAGTGATGCACGAGTTGTGGATCCAAATCAGGAACTGCACTTGAGTGCCTGCCCCAGTGCATCAGCTGAACCACCTGGATAAAACAGAGGGGGCTGGACTGAATCCTGCACGGACTTGAATCCTGTTGGCTTCAGTACAGAGGCTGGTCAAGGCAGATGTAGGTCTCCGATTGTGGGTGCTTAGTGAGATTTCAATTCTCAAGAAGTTAGAAAGTAGCATATTGCACATCTCTCAGGCTCCAGCCATACCCAAGGTATGAGTAAACACTGCAACTCTCCAGGGCTGGTTAAAACTGGCTAACTCTTTTTTTTTTTTTTTTTTTTTTTTCCCCCCCCCCCTTTTT